TTTTTTTTTTCGACGGGTACCAGAAACGAGAGCACAATGGGACCCAGGCTCGGCAAAACTCGGTGCGCAGTGAAATTCATGGTCGGCAAAAACAGGCTTGGAGGTAGTGGTGGTTTGAAGAAAAAGAGTTACGGGAAGGAGGCTGAGAAGAAGAAACTCAAATCACAAGCGCACTGTACTCCCAGGGACTGGCGTTGACCAGACGGCAAAGCAATTGCATGGATCCAGAGACCATTATACCACGAACCAGTCATCCAGATGTCATGGTTACCAATGTACTCGTTACCTTAGACAAAGGTAGAAGAGAGATGTCCCATTCCCATAGACAAAGGTAGAGAAGAGTTCCCTGTCCCCCATAGACAAAGGTAGAGAAAAGATGCGTTGCCGCTGCTTATATTATCAAAAATGTCTGATTTCATCAACTTCCAGTCTCTCAAGTTCATCACAACAGCTCATAAATCAACTCTGTTCATCATCCCATCAATATGGAGACCAGCGCAGCAACATCATCATGTCGAAGTACAGCATTACTCAGGTAAGTGACATCTTCTCCTCTCTCTCTCTCCTCCTTACTTCTTCCTCTCTCTCACGGGCACATTATCTCTCTTGTCTCATGAAGATCTCGTTCAGAATACACTCACAGATAGAACACCAACTAGTAGGCTAACATCCTATCTCAACAGGGCAGCTATGGCTGCATTCAGCCAGCCAGCGCCMTCACTCTCTTCCTGCGCCACTTCTTGCTTCCAGCGCTGACTTCACCTCCCACTCTAGCGCACAAATGGCCAGCACTTCCACGCCAGTGGGGAATGAGCTTCCAGGAGGCTCAYTGCCTCTTTTATAATCTTGGCGAGCAGCTTCAGCCTCTGAATTGGTACTTCGGCCTGGCCCAGATCTGCATTGCATTAGTCCCATCTCTTTTCCCACGAGGTACTGCTTGAATTTGAGGCCACCGGCCTAGCCTTTGGACTGACAGGACTGGATCTGGACTGCCCTCTAGACTTAAGACAGGACTAGGACACTTTTAGTTAGCTGTACCCACGGCCAGACACAAATCTAAGCGAACAGGCACATTCTCAAAATGAACAGACATTCTGCATTTCCCCCCTCAAATGAATGCAAGTTCTTTTACATACATTCCCTTTCTGTAGCTTCGTGTGCAGATGCATGTTGACTGTTCGACAGACCTTTGCTTTCTTTCAGAGATGTGACTTTTGACCCCCAGAGGTGACTTTTCGTTTGTCTACTCGTCTGTTGACTTGCTGGCTGGGTCCCATTCGCACCTGTTCAAAGTGCTTTACCTTTGGACGCTGTATTTTGAACCTTCCACGGGGTTCCCTTTTCACCCCTTTAACGCTGATTCTCTTTTAGAGGGTCTGAATGGGGTATTGACGGGTAAAGGCCCTTTTACTCTCGCCGGCCTAGATTCGAAGTCCTCTGAGAATTCGATCTCATCTATCAATAAATCTGATTCCTTTCTTTGCTCTCTCATAGGAAGATACAATGTGAGGTGCAGAGTCAAGCAACTCCTCCCTTGTGTACCAGCGATCTTCGCTGGGAAACTGATAAGCAAACCTCACTTTGTATTGGCGCTGTGGTCTGCCTCTGCGTCCAGTGTGGTAAGTACTCTCTCCTACGATCTGATCAATATCATATCTTCCATCCATACTTGGTGGGATCATAGATCTGCGACTAGGAAAGAGTTYGTTAGTCACGCAGGGTAGCAACTTTGATGCGTGAAACACCGGGTAGGTATGTAGATGCAAAGGAATCTCAATCACATAGGAAGGACCATCCACATCCCCAATCACATCTAGGACCTCCCAGGGTCCTCTATAAGTAGGTAGGAGTTTCTGAGATATGTTCTCCTCTGGAGCAAACTCCTTAGATTTAACCCAGACTAGGTCTCCAACAGCAAACTGCGAAGGGCGTCGATGCTTATTTGCTTGCTCTATCATTTGATGTTGCGCTTTAGCTATGTTTTCTTTGACTCTTTCAATGTCTTTTTGGTACTGGATAGCAAATTCACTCGTAGCTGGTGGCAACTTATGCACTTGGTCAGGGTTCAATCGGTCAATTGGCCTACGTGGCCGCCATCCCAGATGCAACTCCATAGGGGTCTTGCATGTAGATAGGTGAACAGAGTTGTTATAGGCACTAGCAACCTTGGGCAAGTGTTCGTCCCAGTCAATCTGGTCAGGACGGATATACATGCGCAATGTCTGCTGCAGGATCTTGTTCATTTGCTCAGTCTGACCATTAGTTTCAGGATGTCTACCTGAAGACATAGTCTACTTAGAGCCATACACATTCATCAGTTGCTGCCATTGTTCACTTGTGAATCTTGTGTCTCTGTCACTTACAATAGTCAAGGGATGCCCGAAATCTTTCACCCAGTGATTAAAGAACTCACGTATGACCAGGTCAGTCTTCGCTTTAGCAGGCAAAGCCACGAAAACAACGAATTTAGTGAATCTATCCACGATGACCATTACTTGCGTTTTCCCATTCCTACTCTTTACTTTAGTATCCATAAAGTCTATAGATACAGAATCCCCAGGTCCTGTTGGAATAGGCAAGGGCTTTAGCAATCCAAAAGGTGCTTGAGTAGTGCTTTTATTCCTTTGACACACCTGGCACCCTTGCACATAGGCAATACAATCAGGTTT